CCCCAAAACCCCAAAACCCCAAAACCCCAAAACCCCAAAACCCCAAAACCCCAGAGGTAATAGTAATCATTGAAAGAGATATTGGGGGTAGAATAGAAATCATATTGAGATAGTCGAAATGGGTGAAGCAAATTTATACTTATATGGAAACCTCTCGAAACAAGAAAAGCAAAATTAGTGCAATATCATCATAAAAAGCAAAAACACCAACATTTAACATTGAAGAAATTGTAAAAATTTAGAAAAAGATAAAATCTGAATATTTTTCCTATTTATAATCTAATAATTTCAAGAAAGCCTGAGCAAAAGTCTTTTGTGTGGCAATTTATGCAACGTAATTACTAGAGGATCCGGTACTTTACAAGATCTGGTATTTAGCAGCACGGACAACTTCTGAGGTAGTATAGGATGATTTTTGATATCCTGGATCAAGAACTTTATAAGTGTTTCCACTTTTGCTGGTAGCAAGTACCCAATGTCCTCCATTGCGAACGTTGAGAATAGTAATGTGCTTACTATCTATAGTATGAGTTCCTCCTTGTTTTTGTCCTTGATATTTGACTTTAAATGTAGATTCAGCAGCTCCCCAAACATATAAGTTTCCTGAGTATCCATGATGTGATCTAAGCCAATCGTTAAAGTTTCCTGGGTTAACAGTTTGTCCACTGATTTTCTTTCCAAGTCCAGCAAGGGCCATAGACATTGAACTCATGAGGCATCCAACTTGACAAACAGTCTTAGATCCCATCTTTTTACTTCCCCATTTTGAATTGCATTGCTTGTACAATGGAGGAGCCATCAAAGAACTCTTGTCTAAGAATACTCCCTTCAAGAAGTCATAATAGTATTGTAAGGCACTTTCAGTAGTTTCTACCTGCAATTCAGTTGGCAACTCAGCTTCAACATTCTGGAGTTCAGGAAGAGTAAAGGCACTGCAAACCAAGAGGGCTAAAATGATATAGGTCTTCATTTTATTATAAATGCATTCATTATTTTAAGTTTATATGGGGTTTTGGGGTTTTGGGGTTTTGGGGTTTTGGGG